AATGCTTGTATTAATATTGACATTATCAAAACAGCATTTTTAAAATAAGGCACATAAGATGTGGCCTAAATCCCTCAGTATAAGAATACAGTATGTCCTCTTCTTTAAGAAGTGGCATACACATTTCAAGGGGAGTACAGAGATATACAGTGGTCTGACAGGGCACGGCACAGTGTGACATGTAAAAGCCTCTCAATGTTGGAGAAAACACAATGAGCTGAGAGTTGATTTAATCTTTACTTCAATGTAACTTGCTGTGGTTCATCTTCATCCCAACTGTGCACAAATATTATGCAAGAAGTAGTTAAATAAGCACTTAAATAATAGTTTGTTTCTAATATTACCTGTTCTTTTTTTATTAATAAAAATGTATCAGCTCATAGACTTATGCTCCTACCCCTTAATTTTAATGAGCAGAGTTTAGTAGTTAAATGGTTTATTTCAGGTCAATGCATCAAAACCCCTCTGATATAATTCGATTTTAAAGACAACGTGTGAGATATAGTAAACTCTCTTGTGGTTCGAGTGCCATATTTTTGCGTGAATGAGTTTATTTAACGGCACTGTGACATTTATTAGTCATTGTTTGTAGAACAGTGAGACGTTCTGGACACTACACATGTTCGCAGGCTAATTTCATGTCCTTGTTTGATTTGCTTTCACACGTGACTTTTACTGCTCAGAATTTTAGTTTAGCCGACTTGAATACTGGTAGCTTTAAGCACAACGTGTTGAATCACCATCAAATGGTTTGGTAAACATTTGTTTCAGGACATGTAAGCCTTACAAACTTAATAAAGCTGTATAGGATTTTTAAAACATGGTTTAATAGTATTTATTTTACTATTTCTGTATTGTATTACATCAGCATATTCTTTGTAAATATTTCTGCATAGTGATGGACAATATTTAGTTCATTATGATTCAAGAATAAATTCCATATGAATTTATAACTCCTGTTGTCTGGGATCTTCATCTTTCTGACATGACTGACACATGTGGCACAGACCCAAACTGTGCAGCGGTGTTGTCTAGTTTTACATCATTGTCCCAAAGTGTATGTAGCCTTACCCTAACTGCTAATGGCTCAATGGGTGACAAAGGTAAAAACCAGGCTACCTTTTTACAAACCACTGAGTCAGGCAGCTGTTGACAGGAGGGCTCAGAATAATACCTGACATAGTCATTGTGTGTCTGTGTTTGCATGTGTGTGTGCGCAGATTATTTGTCTCTGTGAGCGCTACACAGATTTCCACCAGGCCTTTGTTTATTTTCCTTTCATTTGTCAAGAACACACAGTTGTGAGGCATTGTGTGTTCCTGCAGAATGGGCCGTGCTGCATTGTGCAACAGCATCACCCATATCTTGCAAAACACACACTGGTAACTAACTGTACACAGATGGTGTTATAAACCTTCCTCCCAGTCCAGGCAGGGTTGCGGTGTAATTCCTCATCTGAGCAATGAGCTAAGTGAAGTGTGAAAAAAAGGCTGAACGAGAACAGAGCCGCTCTTTGTTGCAGGGCACAATAACTCGGGGCTAAAGATGCCTTGATTAGATTTATGTCACATTTACAAGCGTATAAGTGTCATTGTATACAAATAAAATACTCAAATGACTGATTTTGTACTTGATGTATTACGGGTATCATCAATAGTTTTGATACCTCTGCTTTCATCAGTGCTGTTATTATCATTTTAATTATGATCACGTCAGATGTCCTTAGTAACTAATAAATCTGGACAAGTGTCACGGTTCCCCTTGTGTGTAATGAACCTTACCTCACAGCAGAGGGCAGGATCCACAAAAATAAGGACAGAGGAACTTCACCTCATCAGCAATTTCACCTAGTCTCAGTGTGTGCACATGCTGAACATACCACTGTAACAGAAGCTCATAAAAAAAAAAGTCATTTCATAATTCAGAGTCAGTCTCCTTCTCATCTACCTGTTCTGTCTCATGGGTGTTTTAATATCCATGAGATAATAAGAAAAGAACTCCCTACTATCATATCAAATATCACAAATATGACAACGCAGGATGTGTCAGAGATGTAACAAAGCTCAAGGCATAACAGTGTATGTGTTTGTGAGAGGAAATAAAAAAGCACTATAATCTTGGGGAGAGGCCACGCTCCCTCTCTTTTATCAGCGGGCTGGGGATTCCCAAAGGTTTGCTCGCTCCTGGGTGGAGGAGAGCCGGAGGAATGGAAGAGTTGCACATTCCTGCTGGATGGCATAAGACTTCCCATCAGTGGAGCGAGAGTGAATGGGAAAATAATCCCTCACTTTTCCAAGTTGAAATGAATACCGTCAGAAGCTGTGGAGTGGAAAAGGGCATCTCTCTCTCTGCAGCATGTGCTTTGGGGGTTTCTGGTGCATTCAGAGGCCCAACAACTGCACAATCTAACCTACTTTTTTTATTCTACTTCATATGCTGCGTATCCGCTGCACATTGGGTGCACACAAACAAGTGAATAATAGTTTCACTGTTTGGGACTGAACCGGGTCCCAAAGAGAAATCGGATTGGATTGAGGTGAGACACATCTGGATTAAGGTTGGTCCATGGCCTGCAACCATTGGTCAAAATAATTGGGCCCCTCAGTTAAACCAAAGGCTTTGGATGAGGGTGCATATTGACTCATTAGTCTGCTGCATTGCTATAAAGAATAAATCACTTTGGACTAGAGTAAATATTGTATAGGGGAGACTGCGTAAAGTTAACGACTGACTACGGTGTGAAATAGTTGCCAGACATTCCAATGTAGTGACACACACGCACACACACACACACACACACACACACACTGGTCTGCAGTTATTGTCCTCCTGTCCACAGCTCTGCTGGCTACTGAGAGAAACAGATGCAGCCTTTGTGTGCTGTTGGATAAATTGCCATTACAAAAGAAGGGCACAGATATCTAAAACAATATCATGCTGACCAGTGGCGTTGTATAGCCAACCGTCATGTAAAGTGCATGTCTACCATTTATCCTGATTCAGTCCAAAATTCAATGCCTTCCACCTCGAGTCGTGTCCCTTATATACAGTCTATGGTCATGTCCCACCTTTCCACAAAGTTTCATGGACATCGGTTCAACAGTTTTTGCGGAATCCTGGTCACCAACAAACGAACCAGGCCCAACAATCCCTTCATTAAACCACATTTACATTCAGCAGATCCAGATTTGTATTTGTATTCGCACTACATTGCACGCACTTATAAACATTTTACGTCTAAACACGCCCGGCTTGTTTCATAAATTATTCTCTGAGAAACCAATCCGTGCTGAAATCGAATGGGTTCTGTCCCGACCTGCACCGCATCTTCCCTAAACGTTTTGCTGTCATCCGTGCAGTGGTTTTCCCACAATGCTGCTGACAAACACACAAACTAATGCGATAAATAATCAAGAAAGAAACATGGAGGCCCAATAAAAATCTAAGGAACCTAAGTGTCCAAACTGTGGGAGCTCAGTTTTCCGAGGAGCACGTGAAGGCATCAGGGAAGAGAAAGAGGTTTCCCACCACAACACGAGAAAGTGTGTGTGTGTGTGTGTGTTTATGTGTGTGTGTGTGCGTGTGTGTGTGTGTGTGTGTGAAAGAGAGAGAGAGAGAGGGGGGGAGCACCGTGCACAGTCGCTGCAGGAATATGAAGTGAACTCGACACTGAGCGGAGTTTTGCTGGATGCTCTCTGGACTTGACAACTTCGGTGAGTAAGTTTTGTGCCGACACACTTCCTCCAAACTGCCGCCTCACTCACCTCTCCTACCCGGGGGACGCTGCACGAGTCCCGGCTGAGTTTGTTTGTGGAGCCGCTGAGTGACAGTGGTTCTCAGTGTGGAACCCCCAAATCCAAGAATCCGAGAAAAATCGGTATAACAGCGGTAATTAAAGTTTGTCTGCGAGTAGAATGGAGTGTAGATGGAATGTGGGTGTTAACTTTACCCGCGATATTAAATTCAAATCATTTAATTTGTAACTTTGAGCAAACTTTAACCTTTTGGCGCTCTTATTGTGGAAAGCTTACCTATACCTGCCATTGTGTGTCTGTTTGCTTTGAGGTTCACGACTGTGTGTTATTGTCATTGGTTGTGTAAATTCAGCTCTAATTAAGTTCAGTAATGTGATTGTTAACTTTACCTGAGACACTAAATTCAAATCATTTATCTTGTAACTTTTCTTTCTCTTTTTAACTGTGTTTTTTGGCGCTCTTATTGTGAAAAGCTTACCTATATACCTGCCATTGTGTGTCTGTTTGTGAGTATGAAGTGTGTTGTTGTCAAAGTTAAGTTCGTTGATTTGATTATCCACTTTATCTGGGATCTCTTTTTTAACCGTTTTCAAGTTTTTTGGTTTTCTTATCTTGACATGTTTAGTGACCTACTTGCTCAGGGGTGCATAGCTGAATGTCTCATTGTCAAAGTTGTTTGTGTTTATTTAGTTAAAACTAAGTTCAATGGAATTTCTTTAAAGCTGAGCCCTGTCATTAGCTCTAAAGGTCTTTTACTTTGACAGGTCTTTTACACGGTACCCTGGAAGACATCCTCAGGGGGATACTGACCCGTAACTATTTCTTTTCTTCTGTGTGACGTTGCTTCCAAGTAATCAGTTGCAAATGGGAATGAAGATTAATCATAACCAGATCAGGACCGGTCTAACAGAGGGTTAGGAATTTTATGCCTGATGTCTGTGGTGCAGAGGCACATTGGGGACCTATGGAGAAATTGTCCATTTTGACAGTTCGTCCAGATTGAGGAAAGGGAAAGACCACAAGGAGAAAATATTGTCCTCAGTCTCAGGTTTGCTGTAGATTTACAGACTGGATCACTGTCGCCAACGTCTAGATTTTGTGGAGGCTACTTCAGCTTCCAGTCATGTGTGCTACAACATCGAGAGAGAAGTTGTAGCGAAGGTGCGGCAATGTCGTGAGATAGAATATTGGATCCTCTTTGCATCCTCTTATCCTGTAACCCCATCAGGTGCTTCCCATGTGTCAAAGCTCCGGGTTTTGCATCAGTGATGTCACAGTTTTATCTGCTGTCTGACTTTGGACGAGTTTACATTGCTGCCATAATTGACCATGGACCCTATCACAATACATTTTTTGTCACGTGCTTATCAAGCCACCGCTGTATTCGCTGATTACCTGTGCTTGGGAACTAAAGGTGCCTCCTGGAGTTTTCCTTTACACAAACAAAAGTTGTGTTTACGTTGAAGTTGGAGTCACGAAATTCGGTTAAATAACATTGTTGATATTTCTGCTTGAGAAACTCGACAAATACACCTGTAGCTAAGACGACAAGGAAGGTAGTTCTACCGTACATAGTGTTTTGAATTAACGACACAATGACAGCGGCTTATCTTGGTGAATATGAGCTGAATGTCTGTGGGCAAGTAATGTAACGCTATCAGGCAAACAAATGTGACACCGGTACCTGCTTGCTCATCTCCTGCTTCTCATTCCCCTTGTAATCCTTAAATTAGCACTGTGCCAGATCTACTGTAAAAAATCTCCCGTCCACTGCCCCCTGTCCACGAACGCCCCCCCTCGTTGCTGATTGGCTGGAACGACGTTGCCTGTGTCTCGATCAAAGCCACTTTGTCTATTTTCAATTTCCAGAGCAACTATTGGACAGTAGGAGAAATTCACTGAACCTGACCGAAGCGTTTGAACAGGGTGTGTTACTGCACCTTTAAGAGTTTCTCAATAAAACCTTTGCAAAGCTGATTTGCTGGATAATTGAAATCCTGCATTGTGTACATCCATGTATTATTCACTCAACAGGGATTCTCAGGGCGGACCGGTCTCTGTTATGAATTTATTTAGACTCAGTGACGACTGAGCAACATCTGGTAATTGATTGATTAACTGTCTGAACAGAGTGAATAGTTTATTGGAAACTTGATCAGGGCGTACGCACATGTTGTGTGATTGTCATAGTCTTACATCATGTTTAGTCTTTCTCCAACAGTTTGATCAGATCTGGGAAGAAGAAAAAAGTGGGTGATTAAACAGCCCAGACTACACAGACCTCTTATATAAGTACGTTTATTAACAGCAGTGAAGTTCTGTTATATGAAAAACCTGTTACTGATGGCTGCAGGGTCACAGGAAAGGTTTTGGACAAACGTGAAAAGTTTGATATGGACGAGGCGTGGGCAGCTCTTGTTAAACCTACTGCATGCACGTGCATCTGCATGCAAGTGCGCGCACACACACACACACAAACGCACACACACACACAAACAGACACACACACAAGCACACAAGCACACTCTCCTCTGTGAGAATACAGTCACCCCTTCTTGAGTCAGCCCTATCTCCTTGTTGTTACACTGATGCACACACACCCACACACACGGAGCCTCTCTCTCTCTCTCTCTTTCTCACTCTGTACAGTTTCCACTGGGCTCTCTCGCTCTGTCTTGCCCTCTAATCAAAGCCATATGTTCTCCAGGTCCCTTGCATGAAAGCTCTGTTGTGTTTGCAGAACAGCTCCCAGTGTGAGCTGACAGACCGACTCAGTGTTTGGAATGAAACGTAACCTGCAGACGACTCCACGTTGATGTTTCCTCCTTTTTAACTTTTTTATCTTTTTCATTCTGCTTCTACAAGCGTCCTGATGATGCTGGTGCTGCCAGCATCATCTACGTGGTGATAAAAGTGGATTATGGAAAGGTAGATAGTTTTCTCCCTACTTAAATCTTCATGAATCAAAGGCGTTTCAGTCCTCAGCCTCGATCAGTCCTGACACATTAAAGTGTTAAAGATTTCCATGCTATCTAAGCTCACATCATGGCTCCTCACATGAATCAGATACAACTGTCTAGGAAAGATTGTGGCCCAGGAGGACAAAATGAGGCCGCTCTTACGTTTTAATCTGAGAAACGTTGCCAGTTTGGCCCCATTATGCAACCATGACTAATAGAAACATAACAAGCACTCGTTTTGTGGGGACCCACCAGAAACTGGCAAGTGACTCATTTTGGGTCAATTCCAGAATAATAATAATAATGATGATGGTAATAATACACCCTTCAAATGATTGGTCATGCATCTCTTAAACTCTCCCAATAAAGAGGGTGCCATTGTGTTTGGATGGATAAAGTATAGTGTCCATTCAGTGAAGTCTTATTTGTTGAAATGTAAAGGTCAGCAGATGGAAAGCAGTTCTCTGTCAGATCTATAACACTTGAGCTGTGATTCTCTGGGGCTGGTGGGGCTTTACCATTTAAACTCTTTGAAACTGGGTGATAAAGATTTGACTTTCTTTCCCACTTCTAATGCACCTTTTTTCAAATGCACTGACCTCTCTCCTTGTCGAGGTCTTCGCGATGCATGTTAATATGTTTTAGTCTCTTCAGCTGCCACCCGTTTAAGGAATACAACTTAATTGTGGTCATATGATGCATCTTTTCTTCTCTGACCTCCCGCTTTTTTGATTTCCAATGCAGTTCCTTCATTTCTGCAATCTGGTTCACATTCCTGTTAAGTAGGTGCACGGCTCTTAATAAGGCTTTAATTTGCACTGTGGCCTGGACATTTATTAAAGAATGATGTATTAGTTGCCAAAGAACTTCTCATTTATTGTTTACTGTTGTTTGCACGTGGCTTGTTTCTGCTTCTCTTCATGGCAGCTCACCATAGCTGTATTATAATGGTATTTTTGTGACGCTCCAGGGAATATTGTTCGTAGTTAATATATGAAAGTCAGTATTTTTTTCCTACCAGCACATGCTGTGGTTTCTGACCAGGCTTATAAAAATACCAAGTATGTGTGAATCATTGAATCCCTAGTTTTCTGATATTCTTTCCTCCTGCTTTCCTTTTTCTCATTTTACACAGTTTGTTTTGTTTCTTATGTCATTGGCACATTGTTTACAACACATTCACCTTTTTGGCATCATCAAAGCTTTCGTGACTTAAAATACAATCTGCCTGCAATCTGCTTTTTCGTTGCGTGACTGTTTCTTTGCAGTTTGGTGACACCAGTTGGACCATCACTCCTTTGTGCTCACACGGCATGCCTTTTATTTCCGTGACCCCCACACAACAAAAAGAGAAGGGGGATTCCTGCCCTCCCTGGTCGGCTTATTGTGCTGCTGGAATGCCAAAGATCCAGAGCTGAATCTGAGTGTGAAGTATTTAGCGGAGTGTTTTTGAGGCTTGGGAGGATCAGTGGTGTTTCAGTTTGAGTTCAGCTCTCATTTTACATTTAGGTATTTACAGTGTCATTTATTCTGTTGCTTTCTTTCCTTTGTCCACTGACTGTGCAGCATCAGAGTAATCTTTCCAAATAATCGTGTAATTGTATATGAGGTGTGCAGGTTAGTAGCTGTTACCAATTTGCTGCTTTCCACCTCACTGGTGAGCTTTACCTTCGGGCACTGCATGTGATGTTGGACCTAATCACATACCAGACCATGAGTCATCGTTTGGATGAGTTGTGAAATAATCCCCCATAAATGAACATTAGAAAAAGGCTTTTATGTGAGCGTGAAGGCCCCGTTGATTGGATAAACACTGATTGATGACAGGGGTGGGAAAATTGTTCCAGTCCCGAGATCCAGACTCATTAAAATAAAGTGTTGCTCACAACTACTTTGAGCCTTTTCAGTTAATTGTTCAGTTTTGTAAAATCTCCCCTCTGAAACCCACTTTGGATTCAGTTTACTGGTCTTTTGTCACTGAACTATACTTATAAGACACATTTTTTAATATTTATATATATTTTTTGATACTGGGACAGTCCGAGTGATATTTTCTCTTCATGGCCGTGAGATGCCTGAGACTTCAGAGATGTGAGTCTGGCTCCAGTACACAGCAGTGTGTGAAATTCACAAAGCACCATAATGAAATATTTAAACATGCCCTGCATTTAAACTTTTAAGAATTAATGTTATGCGTTTCAATAAAAGAGTTTAGCTCCAAATTATGTGCATCGATTAAAGAATATGGCAGTTTAGAAAATCATCTTCTGAGGGAAGAAGGACTTGCACACTCAGCAAGTCTCTTCAGCTGTGTCATAAGTGCTTAGATAATCTCCTTTTGTGTTTCAGGACTGTAGTGATCGACCACAGAAAACCGTGGTGGTGCGGGGCTACATGGTTAAAGTGCAGGTAATCAGAGGGCTGGTGTAATGCTGAGTTCTGCCTACATGGGGTTAGGGTTAAACCCCATGTGGGATCAGGCGCCGCTAAAGTGGAAACTACCTGTGCTGAGTTCTTCCTGCCTTCTGAGGATGGTAAAAACTTTGTAGAAACTGATTTGATTTTATACATTTTTATAAACTTTACTTTTTAACTGCATTCTGCTGTCTAACATACAACAGAGGACATAACAGAGACAGGCTAGCTGTGTGCTGAACGTCAAGGGGAAACATTTATGCCTACAAAGTGGGTACAAATTTCAAAAACACATTGTGATTGGCTGCTGAACTTTAACACTGACTCATCCCTCATGTCATTCTCTCACTCCCCTCTGAGAGAGAGAGAGAGAGAGAAAGAGAGAGAGACGGATGTCTTTCACTCTCCGTCTCTCGCTCAGTTGAAAACAAGACAGTGAGCGGGAATCCTGAATCACTCGGAAAAGACCTGGAGCATTAGATTTTGCTTGAATGTGAGTACTGTCAGAAAATTCTATTTGAGCTAAAATTGTGTCGGAAAGGACGTCCGGTAGAAAGATGTTGGACAATATTCCACATAATACAACAAGTGAAGCAGAAGTGATTGAGTGTTTTCTTGGTCAGCGCACTTGTCTCTCTGTGTGACCTGGTTTCCTGTGTGTGTGGGTGTGTGTGTGTGTCTGTCTGCGTTTCTGGCCCCAGGCTGAGATTTAGCTTGGAAGAGCCATTTGTTTTCCTGACCAGGGTCACAGTTCAGCTGATAAAAAGAGCCGACATTGACCGGTGTGCAGCGTGTGTGTGCTGGGTTGTTTATTTAGAATTAGTTGATGGTGCTCTCATGAGCTGTTTCTGTAAATTGTGAATATTAAAATCAGTCACGAGGACAACCACTAAATTAACAGCTGTCAAATCTTACCTCAAGTAGTGTGGAAATACTCTCCTGTCACTAATATCGGTGTTTTTAAATGAGCTTGATGGCAAACACAGCTGTCTGTCATGAGCACATGGCTTCGGGACTTAAAGTTGAAGTGTACAATGTCTCTTCGAGCAACCTAAATATTCAGTCAGTATCAATCACCTGAGAGGTTCATGCCCCAACACGTGTTGTTTCACTTTGTGTCCGCTGTGCTTATATCTGTCCAGCCACTGAAGCAACACACAAACACACGGATGGTCTGATGCGTGTGTTTTACATGTTTACAGTCAGATCTTGTCTGCTGCTCATTTAGTTTTACTGCATCTTTGTTTCTCATCGCTCCAAAGTGACTTGACTTGCCTGTGCTATGGATAATCTCACTTTCATAATAACTACACCCAGGATCAATGACACAGTATTCCCAGAACTGATTATACATGTCAAAGTTGATAAATTAATATCAAGCAGCTGGGACTATAAGCGAGTACATACAGGTTCACAGGAAGGTTGCAGTATAATTATGTGATAGTAACACAGCCGCTGGTGAGAGATACTGACACGGTTTTGCTCACGTTCCTTGCCAACATTTGATTTATGTGGTTCGACCTGTTAGTTGACTGTGACACATGCAGCTGAGATTCTTTCTGTTGTGGATCTGCGTGGGTTCCAAACGGAGAATGACTTGTTAAAAAACATAAAGATGACTCGACGCACGCTTCTGAAAATGGGGCTCGGCTTTTGATCAGCTCAGCTCTGGTGGAGTTATTTATATATTTATCAGTTTTTTTCCACAAACACTGAAAATAAACATATTTTGTCTTGAGTGTTGTGAGAAACGTCTTCAGTATGTCATTAGCTTAAAGGACTTTGCTCTTAAAAAGCAGCGTAGCTCCACCCAGCAGTTGTAGTTTCAGTCTGAAGGTAGATTGATACCCTGAAATCTCTTGTATTAACTTGTTGATTTTAATATGAACAGACTTAATTGATTTGTTTTTATAATACAAAGCACTTTTCTTAAGTTGGTTCAACTATTTTCTCTCTCTCTCTCTCTCTCACACACACACACACACACACACACACACACACACACATACACACACACACACACAGCCATTCCTTCCTCCATGGGTTGGTCCCACACTCAGACTGAGGCCCACGTATTTTGGCAGTGAATTAATGTCTGTGGTCATTTTAATTTTTAAAGGTTTTGGACACGTCTTTCTGATGGCTGGCCACCATTAGAATACCAGAACCACACACCATTAGTATTCATGCATGTTGTGGGTGTGGGTCTGTTGCGGATGTTTTTCATGCTCGCGGGGTGCATAACTTACTCTCTGCCCTGCTCTCATGTCTTTTCCTACCAGTGTGTCGCAGTGATATGGGCTCTCTGTTTTGTTTCTGGATAAGAGACATCATGTCCTATTTATTGTCGAGCTGTGTGTGTGATGCCAGTTACTGTAAACTGGACTGTTCAGTTTCATAGGCATCATTACTCTTGCTCTTTTCCATCTGGCATTTTACTGAGTTTGCATAACTGGCTTCTTTTAAACAGTACGTGCTTTATTAAAGAGCAAGAGCCTTGGATTTCTGTCCTGGACATTATCAAAATTAATAAAGTGGTTTGTGATCATTGCACTTGAATTCCTTGATAACGTTAATGAGTGTTTGTGGCGGAAGGAAGTGTCAGTGTATGTATTTATCAAGTTTGTATATATTTGCTTATATTGCCACATTTACCACTGATAACACTTTAATGAGTCCCTCTGGAATTCATCATGTAAGTATTCTGGGGACATTTTATGCCTTTAGTGATAGAAAACAGAGACATGGCAAGAATTCGTAAATCTAGGCTTCATCTGTCAATCCAGTTTTTCATAATCCAGAAAATAACTGTGGGATATCTCCATCATTTTTCATTGGACATGGCTGATGTTGGTATTTTAAAAGTTCTCATTCATACCATTTCCTTCCTTCCTCAAAGGTTTTCCATGAAGATATTATTTCTAGTAAACAGTAATACTCAAGACTTCAAAAAGGTTCCTCCGAGAGATGAAAGCTCTTATTATGTAGCCACACCCACCACGTATCATGCATCACAACATACACATCATCGCAGGAAGTGGTGCTAAATGTACTTTATATGGTTTTATTCTTATTACCCTGGGAAGTCGGTGGTTTTGATGGGTGTTAAATGCTGTCAAATGAATGCTGTTCCTTCCCTCTCCGCTCAGATACAGAATTTGTTGTTTCAGTTGTTTCGGTCACAATGGCCGAGGCAATGCAGTCTGGTTTAGTGAGATAGTTATAGATAAGAAAGTTAATGCTATGAACTCTTGTTGGACATTTCTGATGAAAACCAGGACAGACAATGACTAATGTGTTTTTGTTCTGTCTTTCTGTCGCTCCCAGGGCCTGTGAGTGGATGACTATGCCACAGATACATGTCAGGACAGATCACACAGGCTCACATGTGGCCCTGCATCGTAAGCTGTGGCTGTGACCGTGCTATCAAGGAAATTCCTCTGTCCTCCAGGGTCACCTCCGTGGGTTTTCTATCTGGCGGTTTGTCCAGCTGCACAAGCTTCTGTTTCCACCACACGGACACACAAAGCACACTCTGTATGGACGTGTTGTCTTAGTAACTCAAGAGGTCACCGTTGTGTAGCATGACTCAAAGTGGATCCACCTGACCATCGCAGTAAGTAACATGATGGAAACATTGAAAACTGAAAATGATCTAGATCCTGAAAATGAAACTGCTTTCGGACACGTACTGAACTCTGGCACCTGCTCGTTTTCCTGCCTCTTCTAACACGTCACAGACACAAAGCATGAGAAAAAAAAGAATACATGTAGAAGACGCCGATGAAGATATAGATAGAATTTATACATGTATCCTGCGTCCTGCATGTTCTGGACAGTTTCCTGTTGTTGTGAATGTGTAACGTGATCTGAGAGTGTTTGACGATAAGGGTGATGCAGGCGTGTCTTCTGCCTCAGACAACACGCTCTGCCTGAATGTTCCTGTTGTTGTGAACGCATCTGACTCGGACAATCTCCTGCTGCGTTCTTCACACGTGAAAGGCAAGCTCCGGTAAATGTCCTTAGAAATGTGTTCCTTTATACTCTATCCAGGGAAAGGAGGATATTTAGCTGACATGACTCATCTGGTCCAGCTGAGTTGGTAAACACGACACTGCTATCACCTCACATGATGCATAGTCTTTGAAGGCTGCAGGGTTAGGGTTGGATTTCATTTCCTTTGCAAATTTAATTTCCCTTTTCTGCTCTATGGAGCCGCTAATTGAGATGGAGGAAGTCACCTCTCCAGTAAAAGGAACTAAAGTGAGATCGTAAAGTTTTTCTAAATGCTATTAGGTTTGATTTCTCCTCTTTAACTGCCCTGTTGCTTATTTTTAAAGCTATAGAAAAAACAAGGGACGAAACAAAACAAGGGAGAATCCAGAGACACGATGGCCACTGAAGAAAATCCGACACAGGTGGGAGCTGTCGTGCTGACCCCTCCATCCACTGGGAGTAGAACCAGCAGAGACGCCAGACACTCCAATGACAGCCAGGAAGTATGGCACTACTGTGACCAAATGCTGCAGTCAAAACAGAGGAGCAGCCCTACCCTCCCCTTATACGGGAAGCTGTCATGTGACAGTGGGAAAGGGACGATTTTGGACGAGGAGTGCACGTGTTTGGATTACAACTCAAAAGTCTTGAGGGCCGAAGACAAACTTTATCCAGAGCTGACTGCTGGCAATAGAATTAAAGGAATAACTAACACAGCTACTCTGATTCCTGGGAAAAGTTTGGAGGGGTCTCCGTGTCAGCTGGACGCCCCCGGAGAAGGTGTGGATGCAGGTGGAAACAGAACTGGCAGCACTCGCTGTTCCTGTACTGTGTCGAACCTTCACGCCAGCGCAAACTCCTCCTGTTGCCACAGCCACAGATCCACTCCGAGCCCCAAATCCAGCCCAGCTCACAGTCCTCATCTCAGCTCCAGGCCCTCGAGGCCCAACCAGAGACACGTCCGCCGCAGCAGCCTGCCTGTGTCTATGCTGGCTTTATCCAAGGTAATACACCTGGTTATCTGCACTGCACATTTAGCTGCTACAAGGCTGTGTAATGTTCTCCATGGTTGTTTTACAGCTTCAAATGAGTTATAAACTGTTATTTTACTACCTACCTACAGTGACCCTGAGAGCTCAACTCATTGCAGTTAAAAAAAACGTGCAATTAGATGCAAAACATGCAAATGGAGAAAACTCCCTCATCAATTTAACAACACTTAAGCGGCAAATAGAAAATACACTGCAAATACTCACAACACAATCAAATACTCATGAAACAACTAAATACTCACATCATGAAATATTCACTACACAACCGATCACTCACAACCAAATACTCGCAACCAAAAGCAAAGCAATTAAATACAACTCGACCAAATATACATAACACAACCAAATAATAACAACGCAACAAAATGCACATATCGCTTTCAAATACTCAAAACAAAACCAACCAAATACTCACAAAACAACCAAGTACACATAACACAACCAAATACTCACAATGCTACAGAATCCTCCCAACACAACCGTTGCGTTGGGAGGATTTTGTTTGTTTTCTCCTTTGTCTATTTACATGTATTTTCTTGAGTCACTGTGCTTTGGGTTCTCAGGGCCTCTGTAATAACCAGTTTAACTGTAAAGAAACATCCCTATGACTCTTTTAATCTGCCATGTTTTCTGCTTCTAGATGTCACCTTGCCTCTCATCACAGGGCAGCCCCTCCAGTGAACCAGCCTCGTTGGCGTCATCCCCCTGCAGCTCCCCGCTTTCCCACCACAACCAGCAGCATCGGCAGAACGGACACATCCGCCGGCACCATCTCAAAGATGGCTACTCAAGTTTGGAGAGGCTCAACAGGGTCGACAAATCCTCCCTGGAAAAGCTGTTCCTGCGACGGGCATCTCTGGAAACCATGACGTCCACGTTGGGGCGCGTGGAGAGGTCGCCCACAGGAGGGGCCAGGCACTGCAGCGGGGGCAGCAGCAACGAGGAGGAGGAGGATGGAGAAGCTTCTTTAGATAACACGGACTTTGTGAGGAACCGTAAAGAGCGTTCCACCGTCCTGGTGAGGCGATTCTTCAAGAATAACCAGAAGGTAATTTGGTCTTATAGTTCATCTTGATCTTTAGTTATGACTCTACTCTGTTTCATTCTAGTTGTCTTGATATTTCATGCTTGAAAACATGCTGAAATGCATCCATAAGGTGACCAAGTCAGTGTGCACTGGAACCAGAGCGATTGTCCGGACGCTGCCGTCAGGACGCATCTCAGAGGAGGTGTGGGAGGTGGTGGTTCACCACAGGATTTGGCAGCCCAGCAAGAAGGAGATGTGGCCAATCTTAACGCGTGGCGTGGGAGAAGAACCCAGAGTCTGCAGGGAGATGCTGCGCTTTGTTGGGATCAAACGACAGCAGGTAAGAGAAGGAACACAAGACAAAGAGCTCAGATGTGCCGTAGAAAGTTGTGGAAAACATAAAATCAGGACTGAGATGCAGTGACGTTCTCAGGCGTCAGGTCTTGGATGGTTTGTCTTCCACACTCAGGCTACAGTTCGTAGACTCTTGCTGAACTGTACCAGTGCATCTCTAAAAGATTACAAGTGAGTCTGAAGTATTCATCAAACACGTTTTACATTATCATCCCATCCAAGGAATATTACAGTTGAGTTTAGGAAATATGTTGCAGTCTGGGTGTTCATGGCCTCACATCACTTACATTTTGCCTCCAGCTATATTAAAGTGCTTTTGAAATCTTTACACATGATAAGGCAGAGGGGTTTACATGTGGTTTTCTTTTTAAACCCTCTGCTGCAACAGAAAGTCATATTTATTGGAAGCAGCAGTATTTTATGACTTGGATGATTCTCGGTTCAGCAGAGCAAAATTGTTCTTGGATGTTGCTCACCTCTTTACATTAGAATGTTATGCCTGTTATGCATGACAGATGAATAATTTGTGTATTCCTAAAGGAATATGTTGATAGACCAAAGGACAAACACACACACACACACACACACACACACACACACACACACACGTCCCAGAGCGCATACACACAGGCTCTTTTGTTCAGGTTAGGCTCCTGCTGCGGAAAAATGATTTATTCTCTGTTGGTTCTGCTCTCCTTATTACTGACAGACTGCATGACAGAGCCTTCTGTGTGTGTGTGTGTGTGTGTGTGTGTGTGTGTGTGTGTGTGTGTGTGTGTGTG